CAATTCCAAAGCAGAGGTAGAGACTCTGAAAGCAGAAATTGGAGAGATGACCCGAAACCTGAGAGACTTGGAATTRGATCTTGTTCATACAAGGTCAGAAAAAGAAAATCTGACAAAAGAGTTACAAAGAGAGCAAACACGAGTATCTGAATTAGAACTACAGAATTCCTCATTTGAAAACCTATTGCAAGAAAAAGAGCAAGAAAAAATACAGATGAAAGAAGAATCTGAAATTGCAGTGGAGATGCTTCAATCACAATTAAAAGAGCTAAATGAAAAAATGACTACATTGTGTAATGACCAAGAGGCCTGTAAGACCAAAGAACAGAATCTGAGTAATCAAGTAGATTCTCTTGAACTTGAGAAGGCTCAGTTGCTACAGAGCCTTGATGAAGCCAAAACTAATTATATTCTTTTGCAATCTTCTGTGAATGGCCTTATTCAAGAAGTGGAGGATGGCAAACAGAAACTAGAGAAGAAGGATGAAGAAGTCAGTAGGCTAAAACATCAAATTCAAGACCAAGAACAACTTGCCTCTAAACTGTCCCAGGTGGAAGGAGAGAAGCAACTTTGGCAGAAGCAAAAAGCAGAACTGGGAAATGTGACAGTGGAATTGGAGCAGAAAGTTCAAACGCTGCAATCCAGAAATGACACTTTGCAGGACACCTTCCAAGCACTGCAGCACTCTTATAAGGATCTAGAGAGTGAGCTTGAACTAACAAAAAGGGAAAAAATGTCTTTTGTTGAAAAGGTAAGTGGCTACATATATGTGTATTTAAATATGTAATACAAGGGAGGGAAACCTCTTGTGAATTATAATTCCTTCTAGATGGTGTGTGTCCTGTTGTACCATACTGTGTAAAGATGTATTTGTGGGGTCTTGAACTGTGGGAATGCTGAGTTGGCTCTGATGTAGTAACTGCTGTGACACATTCATAAGGGACATCTTCATGGATTGAATCAAATTTTTAATGTGACACCTGCACATGGGGTAAGCTTTGGATTATGTGTAGTTACTGGTTCTTGTTGTAGTTCCCTTTCTTCCAGTAAGTACATCAGAGTGGCAGCCTCTTCTTACCCAGTTGAGAGCCACTAATATCAGAKTAACAGGCACTGGTTGGTATTGGAGGGGTCTCTTGCCTTTTTGCCCTGCCTTTTTTACTTTTAGGAGAAAATAAAGACACTGAGCATTCATGGCTCCTAGAATTTGTCTGAGGTGCTTTGTGGTATGAGCTCCTTCTTTTATTACCTTCTTTTGTGCAGTCTTCTGTCTTGTGAGGTGATGATTAAAGGGGAGATCTGCCRTTAAGAAGCTTAAATTATTAAAGAAAAAATAAGTGTGGCCCAATATGTTTACTCACTGATCTAGGAAGTAATTTTAATCAAATTAAAATTTTAGTGAACAAATCATAGAAATTGTCAGGAAAATGTAATTCATCATAACTCTTGTGTTTTCCATGWTTCAGGTTTTTGTGCTCTTTGTGAGAGATGGCAGTTAATGTAGACATGATAAGACAAACTGTACCAGGCTGTTTCAACCTGAGGGGGCAAATGCAAATAATACAACTGTTTTTAACTAATCATAAGCATGTTTCTGCAGATGAGTACAATACAGGGGGATTTATAGAGGTTTACGAACTGATAATTAGCTAAGGTGTGCCTCACTGATTATTCTCTGATGCTTCATTCAAATTAATACCTTTATGAAGGATTTTGAGACATAGTAATATTAGCTATCCTTATTATTCTTTTCCTTATTCCTGTCTTTTATTAAATCTTTGCTGAGAAGAAGAGGTAAGCTTGCCGGTAGGTTTTGAGGGTACTGGTTTAGTGGAATAGAAAGKAAGATTAGCCAGGTTTCATTTCATTATCTCAGGCTAAAGCAATGTCACAAATAGGTTGTATCAGAGTAGTTAATTTGATCAAAACAGACCACCAAAAGCAGAACCTAATGAACATTAAATTTCAGGTAAACACAATGACTGCGAAGGAAACTGAACTTCAGAGGGAAATGCACGARATGGTACAGAAAACAACAGAGCTGAAGAAAGAATTTAGTGAAGAGAAGAGCAGGCTAACTGAAGAATTGAAGGTGATGTTGGAAGAACTAAATAACAGCAAAGTGACTTACTCTGGGGCAGACTCTTTACACTCTGATAATTCAGTGTGCACATTTCCCTTGTTTTTTTTTCTAAGATCTGTAATGCACCATACTCTTTTTMGCTTTTGAAAAACTGATACCAGACTTATGTTCTGATCAGATTTGCAGTGATCTCACCATCATGGCCCTGAAGGAGCCATGCAACATTATCTTAGGAAACGTGGTTGAWGATTGTGAGACTAACAAAGGAAAGGAGAGAACAACATTATCTTTTGGGAGACTTAGGAAACTGAGTGGAGGGGTACTGTTGTGTGTGTCTTCAGAAGTTCCGTTTTGCACACAATTCTTAAATTTACAATATATGATTCTTTATTATGTCTTGTAATTGTTTTCCCATATGCTTATAAAGAGAAATTCAAGATTTTAATTGGAATTACTTCTGTTTTGTAGATGGACCATCTAAAATATGTAAATCAGCTAAAGAAGGAAAATGAACGTGCCCAGGGCAAAATAAAATTGTTGCTCAAATCCTGTAAACAGCTGGAAGAGGAAAAGAAAACACTGCAGAAACAGCTCTCTCAACTTGAAGATGCACAGAAGCAGAAGACAGGTGGGCATTAGCTAAACACATCAGTTACAAGACTGTCTCCCAGTGGTGAAATAGCATTGTGGTGTGCATGTATAGGATCTGTTTATTGTGCTCTATTCTCAGTGCTGATTTTGAGCACTTATCTATTTTCCAATTTCTGAATTTTGTTCTTGAAGTCATTATAGAATGCAGAAGCAGGCCTGCATTTTCAAATAGAATTATTTCATCTACTCTTCTATAAAATATGCAAAAACCTGRTAGTTTTTTAAACAATAGTACCTTTCGTTAATGAGCCTCTAAGAAGAGCTTTTCATGTTGATGCCTACTTWAGTCCTTTCTCCATCAAAGGCAGATAGGCATTTGATCTGCATTGACATTGCTAATTTATAATTGGCTGATTCTGGTTCACTGTGGCCCATCCTCATGGTTTGCTTAAAGGGAAAATGTAGGGAGCTGTATTTTTGGGTACGCTGGCAATATTAAAAAAGCAAAGAAATGATAACTTTCCCTATCAGTTTTCTCCMCTTAGCCCTCAGTGTAGCCTGCCTCCTGTGTGGGCAGATGGTGGYGGGCACGGTGTAAGTGTGCTTAGAATGCAGCGTGCAGGGCACACAGCACTCTCCCCTGTCGGAAGTGTTCTGGGTGGGAGTAGGTTGGAATTTCAGGGAGATTTGTAGTGCCCCCAAACTCCTGTCCACCAGGCCCTATATTACCTCTAAATGGTTTCAGAGCCTTTTTGGACTTCCCTATTCACTGGTCCCCTACACTTTTTCAAAGCCATACAATAGAGACTTATGTTTATTCACTTATGTTGGAAAGAATGGGTGAGGAAAAAGCCATTTTTCATGTAAGCGCTCATGTAATTAGTTTTACAAGGAAGTCTTAATAGGGTGGCTGAAATAGGAGTTTCAGATTTTGGTGACTTTTATTTAAGCTATTCCAATAAGAGCATGCTAAAATTCTGCTAGAATAAGTAGATTCTTCCCAAAATAGAAGTTGTTTGAACTCTTAGAACATGAATAGATAAATCTCCATAAATCCTCTAAAAAATTCAAAGAACAGGCCTAAAATTATTTGCTGTTTCTCAATGCCCAATGTGTCTGGGTCAGCATCAAATTACTATAATATATCATTTTATTTTGGACAGGCAATGTTGTGGAAGCTAAAGTGGATGAATTAATGACTGAGCTCAAAGAGCTAAAAGAAACTCTTGAAGAAAAAACCAAGGAGGCAGATGAATATTTGGATAAGTACTGTTCCCTGCTCATAAGCCATGAAAATCTGGAGAAAGCAAAAGAGATGTTAGAAACACAAGTTGCTAGTCTGAGTTTACAGCAATCTAAACGTGATCTCAGAAGTTCTCCTTTGCTAACTTCACCCGTTCCAGGACCATCTCCAGCCTCTTCTGTTAGAGAAAAGAAGTCATCATCTGGTCAAAATAAAGCTTCAGGCAAGAGGGAAAGGTCCAGTGGGATTTGGGAGAATGGTGGAGGACTAACACCTTCCACCCCAGAGATGTTTCCTAAAAAAATTAGAAAAACCAGCAAAAGTGGGGTTCAACCTGCTGAGGATGAAGAAGAGACTGAATATGAGCCAGAGGGACTCCCTGAGGTTGTGAAGAAAGGTACGCATAATTTTAAAACAAAATTCTAGGGCTGGGAGTGTAGCTGGGCGATGAGTGCATGCTTAGCTTTTGCAGTCTCTAGAACCAAAATTAAAACAAATAAAACAACACCACCAACAAAATAACTAAAATTATATGTGTTGTTTTGAAAAATTCACATGTAAAAAAGTTAGAGGTATTAGATTATTGTGCAACAATCCTAACTGGCCTCTAGAAACCACTTTTGTATTGATAAGATATATATCTTCCTTTCGGTCRTGAGGGAATGAGTAGGATTAATTACTCATGGCATACTACCTAAAGAACTGGTTGATTTGAAAAATGACTGTCAAAATCMTTTTTAGAATTTGATATTTCTTTGCAGACAAATCTACAAATAAGGACCCCTCAAGCTTTCTTTTCTTGAGTCGGGTCCAACTCAGATAGTATACAAGCTGGACAGAGAGCCTGGTGAGGTTGACTACCCTGCCTGAAACCACTGAACACTTTTTTTTTTTTTTTCCAAAAAACCAAGTGTGGCTCAGGTACCTGGGGCTGGTCTACAAACTGCCCATTGCTAGTTCATGACAAAGAAAGGTTCAGAAATTGAAAGTAAGAGTTTGGAAATTTTCATAGCAATGTGATAATTGCTGTAATGTCAAAGCACATAGACTTTTTTCTATTTTTTTGGTGATTCTGGGAATTGAACCCAGGGCTCTGTGCATTCGAGGCAAGCACTCCACCAACTGAGSTATATCCCCAGCCCTGATTCAGTCTTATTATACAAAAATATTACTCCACAGCTGATTGACATTTTGCCTCATCTCTTCCTACCCCCACAAAAATCAGGATGCATTCTTTGCCATAGATGGTTTGAGAAACATTGTTCTGAATAACTAGCCACTATATAGGTAGCTATCTCTCTCTCTCTCTCTTTTTTTTTTAGAGAGAGAGAGAGAGAGAGAGAGAGAGAGAGAATTTTTTAATATTTACTTTTCAGTTTTCAGTGGACACAACATCTTTATTTTTTAAATTTTTTATGTGGTGCTGAGGATTGAACCCAGCGCCCCTGCATGCCAGGCGAGCACACTACCACTTGAGTTACATCCTCAGCCTTAGCTATCTCTTTTTTGATAGGAGATTTTTATTTGTAAAGGCTTAGAAATGATCACTGCTTAGTTAGCCCTGAAGGTCCTTGTGGAGTGTGACATGATTTTATTGTCCTTGGGATTGATCTCCTCTCTTAGTCATGAAGGTCATGTCATTTCCTTCTCTAGAAGGAGATACCCYTAGAGAGTGTGAAGTCCTTGTCTGGAAGGCTAGTCTGTCCTACCTAGTCCTGCATGGGAGTGGCTGCCTAAAGCTGCTGTTATCATTTTACATTCCCCTCTTTTTTTTCTCCAATTCATATTTTTWAATGAGGCCTGTTAGTGTCCTTYAGATCTTAAAAGAAGAAGCAGAATTTTTTTTTTCTGTGTAATGCTATTTCCCCCCTTTTTTTCCATTACAGTTTTTATGTTTCTAATAAAAGATAACATATAAATTATTCATTCAATTTGATAACTCCTAGAATAACTATTAAATTTACTACATTKTCTCTGTGACTGAGAGAAAATAGTTTGGGACCTTTATCTTTGTTAAAACTTTGCCTAATAAATGTCATTTGAAGCCTATATAGTATTGGACCTAGCAGTGTTGACAGTCACCTTTTTTGGACTTAGGGTTTGCTGACATCCCAACAGGAAAGATTAGCCCATATGTCCTGCGGAGAACAACAATGGCTACTAGGACCAGTCCTCGYCTTGCTGCACAGAAGTTAGCCCTGTCACCCTTAACTTTGGGCAAAGAAAACCTTGCAGAATCCTCCAAACCAACAGCTGGTGGCAGCAGATCACAAAAGGTAAACTATTGTGAACATCCATCCATCTCCTATCTTCRATTCAGAAACTGCAGTGCTATCTGAGCCAGGGTTGGACTCTGCATCCTTTTAAGTCTGACCTTCTTTCTTTCTAATGTGGTATAGATAAGTCAGCAGTGAGCAAGCCCTAGGATAAGCATTACAGTGTCYTGCAGCATGATCTCATTCTCCACCCAACCGACCACTTACAAATAGTTTGCTGAGAAATGACATTGTTGTGTGAAACCTCGGTGGACTTGTAGGAAAGTTTGAAGCATGACTGTTAAGGGATTCAAATACAAGTTTTGTTTCTGGCCATGCGTATTGCTTATTGTTTGTTTCAGACTTTTTATTCTCATCTGCCCCCAGCTACTTAYTGTTTATGGCTTTTATTCTTTATTTTCTGCAGAAAGCACTATTTYAGTAGCTATCCAAAGAAAAGAGCTGTTTATGTATTTCTCTGTTGTGATTGTTGAGGATAGGGCAAAATGTTTGAGACCTCTGTATTTCTGAAAGTAGCTTATAAGCAGCCCAGAAAATGTATTTGAAGTATAGAGAATATTTACTTAACAGATCTTTTTTTAATATTTATTTTTTAGTTGTATTTGGACATAATACCTTTATTTTTATTTATTTTTATGTGTTGCTGAGGATCGAACYCAGGGCCTTGCATGTGCTAGGTGAGTGCTCTACCACTGAGCCACAACACCCAGCTCCTGCTTAACAGATCTTTATTTCTAATACTACATATTCCAACAGCTGCTGTTTCTGTACACAGAGTCAGGAGGAGTCAGGTTTGGGTTCTTGGTATAGACTGTGTCATTTCCTGGAGAGTTGACTAAGAGCCACCCTTAYTCCCAGTAGAAACCAATATCCATTCCTGTTTGATACTTATGGAGAGCAAATGAAGTATTTGGCCCTCCCTTGAAACAGAATACTATGGCACTTCGCTAGTCCTCTGTACTTCYATTATCTTAAGGCAGTTGCCTTTCTTGTACTTGCTCAATGTCTGTCTTATTTGCAGAGTGAGTAGGTAGCTGATTATGTCTGTGGTTTACCTGTGTCTTCATGTCTAATGAGAAGCCTGACAGTGAGCAAATATTTGTTGAATGAATGGAGCTGTGAATGTTGTCTTGAAGTGACCAAAGTAATAGATGTTTATAAAGGTATTTTAGGAAATCATCTTATRAAATCAGCTTGTGTTGCTGTTCCCCCTTCTTTCATGAGGAATTGATGGTAAAAGCTGYTCGAATGTGGTGTTCAGATTTATTATCTAAGAAAAAGCTCTTTGCACACTAGGGGGCCCGCTTTCTACACTATTGTTGAGCCTGCTGCTCCAGAGCAGTAACCATGGTTTCCTGCAGATTTGTGTTCTGTGCATTAGCTATGCAGTTCAGTAGGCACCAGTAGTCATGAATTGCTAAGCAATGTTGTGCACTTTGGAGATGAATGGTGGGGGGTCCTCTTGAGAGGAGTGTATAGGAGGCTTCATGATTAAATTCAGCCTTTTCAAAACTTAGCCTAGTAATTTTCAATTTAATCCCRTATTTTCTGAGTTGCCCTGTAAATTTGCTTCAATCTGTTAATCATATTTTATTGTTTAGTTTTGAAAATCTAGAAGAAGGTATTCCTTCAAAATCACTTGCTTAGACACCCAGGATTATGAGCTTTCCCCTAAGGTGACTGGCTGAGTTTTGAGAGAGAGAGTTMTCTCTCACATTGAGTGACATCTGATAAGTTCAAAGGGGGAAAATGGATGAAATGCAGATTATGTATGAATCCCCAATCTTTATTGGGGATGAATAAATCCAGGAGCTCCCAGTTTGCTGGGGACAAGGAAGCCAGTGATGGTAGACTTAATCTGACCGTGGACTTGGCATTCAGTGCCAGAGGACCAGCCTTATGTTATAAGCCCATCACGGACAGTGGTGGTTCTGTCTGTGTTTCAATGGGAACCTTGCATAGTTTTCTGCCAGTGAAGTTTGTTTTCACTGAGACATGCACATCGTCACTCTCTCCCCACTGTGGCTGCCTTCACTGGTAAGATGATTGGGGTACGGATACAATATCTTAATAGACTAAATACTTGGTGAATTTGACTTCATCTGTTCATGGACTATTCTAAGGTTAACTAACCAATGTGAGGTTCAAATCCCTAGTTTAAACTCTAATCACAGAATATAGCTTCTTTGATTGAGTATCAGAGAAATAGGGTCTGGAGAGCAGAAGTCAAGGAGTGCACTTTAGGCATTTAATTGGGATTAAGAAAAAGCTTTACTGACTCAGTTTATTATTTCTTATGCATTTTCTCTCTTGGGTAGAAAAGATTTGACATTCCTATATTTTGATGCATTCAAGGGAAACACTTGCTTTGATATTTCTCTCTCTCTCTCTCTCTCTCTCTCTCTCTCTCTYAAGATAATACCAATAAAACCCTGTTCTTTTCCTTCAGCTTTTCATGGATGGTAATTTTCCACTTAGTCCTGGTCCTTCATTGCTGCACATGATCTGAGATAGAAGTAAGCTTTCCAGGGTTTGAATTGTTGGCCAGATTCACTGTTTTCCATAATGAAAAGTATTTAAYTGCCTTTTAAAGTTACATACTTCCTATGGAAAGAATATAAAGGGGAAAATAATTTCCATTCTCTTTTCTTCTTGCTTCAGAAGGGGGTCCCTGGAAGTCATTCACTCAGGGAACGTTTGTCACATCATGATTTTCCAACATCTGTGCTGACCACCTGTTGGCTTTCTCTTTTTCTTTTAAAGATCTCCTTACTTGTTGCTTCAACTTTTGCCTTTAACTGAGTTGAAGCTTTTCTATACTTCATTTGTCTTGCTCTTTGTTTTCTGACTCCGTATTTTTTTTCACTACTAGGTAAGTCTCAAATCTTGACTCAGTTTTTTTGGATACCTCCTTCTCTTGAAAGGCAGGGCCTTATAGAGGGCATCTGATAGCTGCCCTGCGGCTGTAATTCAAATCTAGTGGTGAGACAAATAACAACATAAGGAGCCCAATTAAAATATCTTTATATGAAGAATAGGTCCTGGGTCTTCTAAATATTGTAAATAGAGCTCCTACCTATGAGGKTAGTATTACTCATTTGGATTATACTTATTTTAAATGACAACAGAGGTTCAGTTGGGACAAATGGAGGCAGATTTTGGTTCTCACTTAGGAATATATTAAACATTTACCAAGTAATGGAGCATATTGTTGGCAGTGGAGATACAGAAGTAAGAAAGATAGTCTTTGCCTTCTAAGAGTTTAAATTCTTTCTTGGGAACAAGCTTGGCCATCAGAGGTGTCCAGGGAAGTTGGATGACTTGTTGTAAGTTCATGTCTGATGTTCTAACTSCTCTGTTAGGTGAAGCCTGTTCTCAGGGAAGAATATATTAAAATTGTATACAACTTATGAGCTTGGTGACATAGCGCTGTATTTTCATGTTATATACACATGATTATGATTTTAGTCTCTAACAGAGGTGTGTGTTGCAGGTCAAGGTTGCTCAACAGAGCCATGGTGGTTCAGGCTCTGCCTTCCAAGAGTCCACCACGAAATCTCTGTCTGTCAATCATCTTCCTGAGAGAAGTTCAGCTGTCAACCCCAGAGAGGGCCTGAGAGCCACTCGAGGCCATCCTGYCCCAAGCCCAGGTGCTGCACCTGAGCCCAGGAGTAGTGAGAACTGCAAGGTCCAGTGAAGAGCCCCGAGGGTTTGGACTCCTTGACAATGACTGTGGCTGACCAGAAGATACTGCCTATAGGGACTTTTCTTTGGTCAGGGAGCACTTTGTCAGTGGGGAGCAAACCATTCCTTATCTTCTGGATATATTGTCCTCTTTAGATCTCCACATGTAAGTACTGGAGAAGTTTGGAAGCACTGATCCCCTGGCCACCATTGCTGGTGTAACATATCTATTGTAATGTAAATAGTGTTGTATAAAGCATTTTGGTAATCTGTTAAAAGTAAATAGCAAGCAAGTAACAACCTCTATTTGTATGTAGATTTTAACCCCCCCCCCAAAAAAAAATGCAATCAACAACTCCCAGGAAAATGCAAAATTTTACTTTATACCCTTTCCTTTACATGTGTTAGGCATGAAATAATTCTAGATTGAATTTCTGTAAGCTTAGTAAAATGAAAGAAAACCATGCTATGTTTCTAAGRAAAACATGTACATTTGCACATGTGGGTATGTTCATCCTGTTCTTCCAATGTGTTTTAAAAATCATTGCTCATACAGCCTGTACATACATGTGTGGGGGGTACTGGGGAGGTATGTGTGTTTATTTCTTAGTCTATTGTAGGCTCCTTAGAGGTGTACTGTATCATGATTTCTGTCATTGTGCTTTCTTCATCTTAAAGACCATTATAGTTCTTTGATATGCATTGTCACATCTGGTTTTGTATTAAAATATGGCCTTTTCTCCCTCTGATTAAAAAAAATTACTTTCGTGTTTTTAAAAGTGAGTCATTCCTAAATATAAAGGTATTATGAATGTTGGCATTATTACTTGTTAACTACAACAGCCTCTTATGAAAGTAAAATATTTGGGAAAATGATATAGATCTTTGAGCACACGATACAAGTATGTTCAGTGAACATATTCAGGTATATGAAAAGATATGATTTACAATGCAGGTCATAAAGATTGAATGAAAATATGTCCAGCCTCATGCCTAGCATATTGGGTATACCCACTAAATTACATTAGCAAGGATGCAAGTGTATGACATTTTCCAGCTCCATTTATTGATGAGAGTGTTTTGAAAATATGCATGTGTTACGAGCCAGTTCAAATTAAAAAAATTTCAATAAGCCTTTATGTCCTTGAATCAGGGGAAAAAAGTTTTTCAGGACATGAGTTAGTAAAAGATAATTTATTCTTGGCTTTTGGTTCAGATTGATGGTCAATCCTTGACAAAAACATCATTTTATATTTTAAAATTGCCCTTTGCAAACTGGCCTCTATGGTTGGATAATGCTTCAGCCATATTAAGCGACTTAGTATTCATGTACTGAAAGTGATAGCCTACTTTCCTCTTGTTTCTTCAGTTGCTCAGGGTTGTGGCCGGGTACAAAATCCTTATCATAAATCATCCCAAGGTTGCCATGTGCTCAAGGGCACATCCCTGAATAAACATTGCTGGGATCAGGCCATCAGCTTTAYTGGCTGTCTCTAGTGACTGGAAGATTCCACTCCATACACCCTGCCGGGCAGCTTCTTGGGTCCCTGAAAGCATCTTCATCTTTTCTTAGGTTTGCTGGAGCTCCTGATTTTGTTGCACAAATACTTCTGTTAYTGACAGTAATAGGTTTGCCCCTTGGTGAGTGCAAAGCMCATAGGCACAACCGGGAGAKAAAAAGATACATTCCTGAGCATGCTCAGTTCCAGGTCATGCTTCTTTATACATGGCATGTTCAAAAATGGCAGACTTCAGGAAGGTCTCCTAGGTGGAAAATTTAGCATTATAATGGGCAAAGTTTGCTTTAGGTCACGTAGAAGAGGGGCTATTGTCACTTTAGGTGATTTTTATCAATTCCTGTSTTCTCTAGTGGGCCTTATCTGAAATACAGCTTGAAAAATTAGCAGTCATTTAAAGGGGCAGCAACTCTTGCCCTTAAGGAGCTTGCCCCTAGAAGTACCTGCCTCAGCTACCATCTTCATTTTTGTAATCATAGAGAATTGTTCAGAATTTTAGAAATAAACAGTGGGTCATTCAGTATTATGTTTTCCTTGAGCTGGTAATATGTCTTGTACTGAGAGCTGATCTATGTATGGGTTACAGCCCGRCTCTCAAGTACTTTATAAACTGGTTGAATCACCAATAAGATCCTAGCTGACAAAACACTGTGAAATAGACCAAGTTCAGAAATCTGGGAATCTGATTCTCATTTGTACAATGAAGGTCTTGGTTGAAATTGATACTTTTTCCTTGAACATTCTACTGGAACCAAAATGGCTCTTTGTGTTATTGGCAGTTTTCAGGAGTACAAAGAAATGGCATCTTCAGTAAGAATGGAATTAAACCTTCCATTTAAATGTAGCCTGATTCCTTAAGAGCTACCTCACACACCTTTAAGATTTGTACTTTTTCTCATTGGATCTCAATTTATTTGTTTAATTTGAACTGTCAATTTTTTTTTGGATATTTGAGCCYGGAAAGAGGTCAGGGCACTTATTCCCTAACTGGGAGGGGACACCTGCTTCTTCACTTTCCTACTGGCTTGAATCTGCAGAGGGCTTCTTACTACTATGAAGAACTTCAAAGTTGTTCCAAAGATTTGGACTCTGGCAATATATCATGAAAGAAATTGAAGTGGAAGACCAACTGATCCATTCTTGCAGGGCATAGATTTTATTGTACCACTGATAGAAGCTGAGCTCATCACTAACATGTTTTCATAGTTCTTTTGTGGTTGAGTGGGAGTTGCAATTATTTTTTGAAGAGGATACTGCTTGAAATTGGTACCTGCCAGCTGGTACTTGAGTGTTGCTGTCTCCCATTTCTATTGGGATAAGCTGCCTTCCTTTTGGGGAACAGGCTTTATGCCAAGTTCACTGGCTAAGAACCCTGGGGACCTATGGCTTGTGTCAATCCCCAGGTGTTGTGTATCTCCTGCCACTACTCAACCTAAACTATGGCCCAATGCATGAATGCTGTGTGGGAAGTTCTATATGTTTCACAAGGTGTTTTCACAGGTTTGCTCAAAACTTATACCTTTGTGAGACAGACAACTCTCCAATGTGTAGGCTGAGATTAAGTGATGCTTAGAATKTGGGTAGAACATGTTTAATAATTACAATGTATTTTGCCAACAACCTTGCAAAGTGGGGATCATCAATATAAGAGTTGAAGTATTTACTCAAAAGCAGCCAAGATGAGTTTCAACCCCTTTCGTTTGTCATTCTGCCACTCTAGAGGCAAGCTGTTCCTGGATAATTCTGATAGTAGATGTTCAGGTTACATAAGTAGCTTTTCTACTGTCTATGTGTGATGGAGACATCTCTAAGTCTAGGATGATTGCATCTAACTTGTGCCACCTTATATTGAATTTTCAAAACATGAGACTAGCTATATATTTTAACCCCCCAAATTGTAACTAGTCACTTCATTATTACTTAGTAAAGTATTGTACTTAAATAAAGGTAAATTTTTTAAAAAGAGTCTTTTGGAAATATGTAAAATCTAAATATTTGCAAGGCTTTGATTACAAAAGTTTAGTATAATATTGACATTACAAGTGAAAGGTGTGGGAAAACTTGGGATTCCATATGACTTTGAACAAATTACTTACATTGTGTGCCTTTTTAAACTCATTGGTGAAGTTGCAATCACACCTTTTGGAATCCTTTTGATGATTAAGTTGATTGGATAGTACTTAGCTATTCTTATGATATTGCACTTCATAAAATGTTGGTCATACTATATATGCAGTTAATTGCATGGACAATTTAAAAAAATATTTCAACTTAAAACTGTTAGATAAACTTGTTCATCTTACATAAAGCATTAGTTTCMTATTGTTTTCCTATAAAATTTTCATCTCAATAATGCTAATACTTTTTTTGCAAATAAAATTTAATTACCTTAGATTTGTACATATAATCCTATTGCTGATCATGCAAATGAACCATACACTGTTTTTTGTTTTTGTCTGTTTGGCTCATTAAAAATGCCCAAAGAAAACAATTACTGCAATTTTGCTTACAAAATTGACTTGTTTTTGTACACCTGAAGTTCRAATATAAATTGGTTATTTGCAACTCAGACTACATTTCCTTATAAAAACAACATAACAAACTGTTCTTAAATTCAAGCCCAGAAAGTCAATTTAGCTCATAACATGTCAAAATGGCAATTTGGTTCGTTTCAAACTATACAAAACCTCCACTCATAGCATTTTTTTTTCTCTACAAAAACATTTTAAGAAAGAGATTGTCCAAAACTTATTTTCCTATCCTTTAACTATTTTTCCARTGTTTCCCACTCTTCTGCTTCTGTGCTAACAGACAGGAAGTGTCTAGTGGTCTCAGGACAGAGACAAGGGGATGCAGGCTCCTGTCTGGGATAGCAGCTGTTTCCAGTCTGAAAGGAAAAGTGGTGGCTTTATGTTGGTTTTGATGCTGCAGGCAAAGGCAGCTGGATAATGTTGGTATGTTTGTGTGTGTAAATTTAAATGGTTCCATTGATGTTTTAGAAAGTCACAAGGAAGCACACATATCCCCAAGCTTTGTACATTTTCTGCTCACTTGCAGACTTGAGTTCCAGCCCACAAAATTCCCACCAGCCCCTGTCCCTTTAATTCAAGGATTAGCAGTTGAATAGATTACTGTATTCCTTTCTCCTCTAGGGCATCTTGCTGATGATCAGAGGATAATGTGTAAAAAAATCACCATATTTGCCAAACCAAATCCTTATGGTTTCAAATGCTTTATCTCTTTGATATTAAGTCATCTTGCAAAGTGAGCCCTATATTACCATTCAAGAAAAGACCCAAACAGGTTAAGTTTGTGTCAAAACACAACTGAGGGTTGTAGTCTTGACCTCCCAGTCCAAAGATCTTCATAGATAACCATATGCCTCTCTGTCAGCTAAGAGGCTGACCACCAGCCTGTCAGGTTTCTTTGAGAATTCCATTCTGAACCCAATGGGAAATTTCCTTCTGTTAGGGACCAAGACAGCTYCACTCAAGAA